ACGGGAGCTATGACTCGCCACGAGAGTTTCCCAAGTTCCTCCACTTGATCCACCCCCTGACCCAGTTCTCATACATGCCAATGGGGTTTTGGTCAGGTTCTGGTGAAGTCTGGCCTTCCATTTGGCCATGTATGAGCTGGTGAACCTTGAAGCCCAGTCCACCCCACACCCTATTCAGGATGCACATTTGGGTGCTGCTGCCTTGACCAGTCCAGACTGTTGTGGGTTCCTTTAGCTGTGATTGATGGCAGGCTCCTTGGTCACACCTACCTTAGTCCATCATCACCCCAACTCTTAAGCCAGGGGACAGCTCACCACGTGCATGTGGTGGCTGGTGTCAGGGTTTCAGGCATGAGAGACCCCAGCCTGAGACCCTGACACTTTATAATTCTAACACTAAATGCCTCATCTTCTAGGTTCCAATAGATACTATTGTATCCATTGCAGATAGAGCTAAATTAAAACAGTAAGCTACAGGTTCCAACTGAATGGATCTTTAATTCGGGTTGCTAAGAGCAAGTTGTAATTCTAAATAACTGGTAAGCTGGTAACTTTAAAGCATTTTTAAAACTTTAAACTTGTTTTTCAAAAGCTGTTACAAAAGCTATTTTGTTTTTTAATGCATGTTAATTGATATACATGAGCATGTTTACTTGGCAAGCTATGCACCTGTTCTAATTGACTTATAGATGAAAATGTTCACAGACGAGAATTGCTAAACTAAATCTTTTAATTTTTATTTAAATAATTCCTTGAAATTAGGGTCACAGAGAAATTCTCCAGCTTCTTCTAATGCTTGAGGAATGACTTTGAGCATATTCCATTAGATTCTATGTAGAGAAGAATAGGTGATAAGAGATCCCTAACTGCCCTGGACATTAGGAAACAGTTTAGAAATTTATAACAGGACCTGAAAGTACCCTGATATCCTTTTAAAGGGGTCACCATGATCTTTTGGTTCCAGTGAGACCTTTGGAGACCTCCCAAGTGCTCTTCATTGCAGAAGCAATGGACACTTCACCAAGAATCATCAGAAAGGACATCCAGGGCCATGTCCCAACTACCAAGGAGGTCATTGGAGATATGACTGCCCCTGAAGGCCAAGTACTTCTGGTCAGTCATTTCCTGTTGGACCTCCCACATGGGACGGAAGCAGCCCAGAAACCTCCACAGGCTCAAGGTGATTCATGGACTTTGGTGACACCTTGGAGTAGCACCCACGAGCCACGGGTGGTTCTCACAGTGGAAGGGAAAACTGTAAGTGTCCATCTGGACACTTCCTTCTCTGTCCTAGCTAGCCTGGGCTTCTTCTCTCCTTTATGGTGACCAATGGAGTCTCTCAGGAGCCTCAGATTAGCTCAGGTGACAGAAGTCTAGCTCAGAAAAGAAGCTTTTCTAAGGAAAAGTTAGTTAGCCTATAACTGCTCAGCCTGCATCAGGCTGATAGACAGCATCAGGCTCCTGATAGACATGTTTGCCATCTCCCTCTTTGGTTTTACTAGACTTCACTGAGGTAGGATACCGCAACTGTCATAAGGCAGACTTTATGTCTTCCTCATTGGCCAAGTTATTTGGAATTTCTCAACTTATCTACTTAAGATTCTTGTGTTCTTCAATGGCAAGTACATGGCTTGTTAGCCTATAAATTAGTAGATTGCTTGTCTCTGCCAGAAAGTGTATAAAGTTCTGTAAGATCTTTTCGGAATAGCATAAACTGCTGGGTTATTATAAATGAAAACTAGTTTAAATCTGTTGGCATCTATTATGTGACCAGTAGTAAGTCTTGCAACAGAACGTTTTCAGTGCTGTGCTTTATGTTTTAGGCTATAGATGTCTTCCTGAGACTCTTAGGGCTTGCAGTGATTGGTAAAGTATAATTTAGAAAATCTAGCACTTGCCTGCTTCCTAGCTAGATTCAAAACTACTATAGTATTTCCAAACATCAAATGCAATAATTGTCAAGGTTAGTCAAGGAGTCAGCTTGCATTTACCTCTCCTGTGATGGCTTTGTATTCTGATGCCATGCACCAATCCTTTCTTTGTTTCAGATAACAATTTCATACAACCCCAAAGGTTTCATGTGTTCCATTGCATTCATTGGGTATGTTTCAAAATTTGGGATTTGAAGTAGTTAAGTTAAACTGATATAAATCTAGTCCCTCGTTTTAAACTAAAGTAATGTTTACTCTGACAAAGGTTTGAAACCTGACAATTCTTTAATATCTAAGCTTGAAAAGCCCAAGTATTCCAACTGGGTTTCTAAATGAACTCACAACCTGTTAGGTTGGAAAAGATTATGATTATGTTATGTTGTGTTATCTAGACTTCAACAAAGAGAAGCCTTCAAGTGCCAGGCAGTACTTCAGACATCTAATGACTTCTACCTTCTATCAGGAACCTCTAGAACCTCCTACTGTTATGGTTACTCAACAACGCCCCCTTTCAGCTCGAAGCAGCTAAAGAGGTCATCGTCCCTTTATCCCTGTTCACTGCTCTGTTTGGAAATGTGAGGAGTTAGATAGGATGATGGGCAGTCAGGGTCTCTGGTTCCTGGTGAAGCTACCCTGTCCACATTGACCATTCAGGAGTAATGAAGAATCAAGGACTAAAGTACAAGAAGGCTTGGCTAAGAGAAAATGAAATCAAGCCACCTGTTCATAAGGACTCTTAATAACCCTTCCCTCCATTCCGGTGCCATCCACTGAAATGTAAAATTGCTTTTAATCAAACCATTAACCAGTTTCTTTAGCAGGACTAGAAAGCGACTCTCCATCTTCCATTTCTCTGAAAAGGTTGCAACCACTGCCAAGAGAAAACGGCTCCAAGAAGCCATAGAGAACAATGCCCCTCTTCCTTTATATATAACAAAAGGGAGGAATGTAAGGAGCTATACGAATATCCCACCCTGGACCCGGCACCATTTCCTCTTCTCACAGCTCACAAAATTCGCACTGGTCTAGCCATTCTCCAATCACATGTAACCTGGCATTCCACCTCAGATCCCACCCCCAATCTTTCAGCCCATTCCTTAACCCTGCCCACTCACCAATCATCCCTAGGGATTCACCTGCAGGCACCAATCCTCTGGGTCCTGACCTCAATCCCTACAAATCCCTACCCCCCACACTTGCAGAGGACAAGGCCCCCAGGTGCGGTTCTCTCTTTCTTTTCCTTCTGGACTCCCTTCCCTTTTCCCTGCTGATCTCCTCCACCTTCCCACCCTCACTAGTCCCTGCCCCACTGGAATTAATCTCCTAAGATACTTCCTTGCATCTGCTATTCTCAGTTCATGATAAAGAACCAGGTTATGGGAATTAGCTGTGCGTAACAATATCATAATATTGTATGACTAAAACTGAAACTGTTTTAAATAACTAACACTGGCCATATTTCAATTGGATTATTTGGTTGTAGTGTTGGGTCTCTCAGGATTACATAGTGGATAGTAACTCTTTGGTTGGCAAATGTACTTCTTGTATGATCTTCACTCCAGTTCCTCGAGTCACGTTTCCCAGCTTTCTCCAGTTCCATTGTCTATTTTTCATTTTGTTGCCCGTTTTCTTGTGATCTCATCCAGCAATCGCTGCCTAATCCCACGCCTTGAATTGTTTCCCCAGGGTTTCTCATTACTGCTCTTACATGTAGGTCTTTGAGCATTAGATTATCTTCCTTTTTTTTTTTTTTTTTTAGGTTTTGTTAGCATTTATATTTATTGGAAAGTTTGTATTTATTGGAAAGGCAGACGTACAGAGAGAAGGAGACACAGAAAGAATCACTAGTTGGATATGCATGTGTCCACAACGGCCAGAGCTGAGCTGATCTGAAGCCAGGAGCCAAGAACTTCCTCCAGGTTTAAGATGTACATGGCCCAGCACAGCAGCCTAAAGGATAATCCTTGCCTTGCTGGTACTGGGATCCAATCTAGGTGATGGTTTTAATGCCAATGGCCCACCTACCATCGTGCTCCCTGCTTATGAGCTGGGAGAGCAGAGGAGGACAGCCTAAAACCTTGGGACCCGACACATGCTTGGAAGACCAGGACGAAGCTCAGACACCTGGTATTCGATCAGCTCTGCTTCTGCTGTTACAGCCACTGGGGGAGTGAATCAACGCACCAAAGATGTTCATCTTTGTTTCTCCTCCTGTCTGTTTATCAGACTTTCCAATGAAAATAAACAAAAATCATTAAAAAAGAAGATTGGTAATCAGTTTGACTCAAACATTTTTAACATGCATGCCATGGTGGTTGTATCAGGTCCTCCACACAACATGATAATGAATCGAAAACTGTTATGACCTATAGCCGTTCAGTTTTTCATTGTTTCAGTAAAATTATAAGTATATTTTAGAATTTGATGCTCAAGGTAACTGTTGGAACTTGTCTGCAAGTTAAAGCACTGCTTGTGATGCCCACATGCCCCCTCAGTGCCCGCGGTGGAGTCCCACCTGTTTCCGGTGGAACTTCCTGCTGGGGCACCTGGGAAAGAGAGGCTTAAGGCCCAAGTGCTTGGAGCCCTAAGACCAGCTTGATGAAGACTGGAGTGGGACCTGGTGCTCAGCAAATCTGTCTCTTCCTCTCTGCCACTCTGCCTTTCCAAAAGTGTGTCTGAGTGGATTGGCAGTGTGGGCCACCTGGCATGAGCGATTCTGTTTCTTTGGGGCCTTGAATGATGGTCAGACTAGTTCCTTCCAGTGTGAGGGCATTTGCAGGCTGCCTCACTAGTCCTCACCATGGTGACACAGTGTTTGGTACAGATGGGCCAACAGTCCCATTACAGCCACCTCAGGGCCTGAGGACTGTCAGAGTGTCGGGTGAGGCTGATGTTGAAGTGTGCTCAAGAGGCCCAGAGGACAATTGGGGTGACTCAGCAGTCCTGTACTTCCATGGCAGAAGTCTGAGATGGGGTCCTACACTTGGTGATTCAGGGCTTGCTGGAGCTCTCCTAAAAGGTTTTTTTCCTTACATGTTTCCCCAGGGTTGTCACTGAGCACTCAGCAGGATGAGTGACATGTCCCCACCGAGACTCCTGCACTTGGCACAGAAGAGCCTGCTGGGTAATGAGGCCTTGACCATCCTTAGTCTGGACCAGCTTCCTAGAGAGATATTCCCTGCACTATTCCTGGAGGCCTTCAACAGGAGGCTCCTGAGCATCCTGAAGGCCATGGTGAGGGTCTGGCCCTTTGAAGTCCTCCCACTGGGCGCCCTCAAGAAGAATTCTCAAATGGACATCATGAAAGCTGTGCTGGATGGGCTCGATATGAAGTACACCCAGAAGTCTGACTGCAGGTAACTGACACAGAGATCCATTAAAGAGAGTTGGGCTCAGGAAGGGTGGAGAGCTTGAACGCTATAGGAGCTTCTTTGGGTGGCAAGAGAGGCAGCTGAGAGAGGTCATGTCCCCTGAAACCCTTCGGTTAAAGGCTTCCTTGAGGTGCCAGAGAAGATACGCGCTTGCCCTTCCCAAAGGTACTTGAAGGCACTGGGTAGTGGGAACAATGCTGCAGTTGAGTGGAAATGGGGATGAATGAAAGACAGACATAGAGTGAAGGGGAGGCTCCCTTCTCTTGCTGCAGACTCAGGGCTCTCAGCCCTCCTCCCCTCCCTGAGCCTCTCCATCCTTACCAGAGGCCCACAAGGGTCTGCAGGCCCCATCCCCTCACCTCTGAAAGGATCAAGAAATATATCACCAATGCAAAATAATCAAATGGATAAATAAATCAAAGAAGAAAGCCAGCAGCAGGGGTGTGAGGTGCAGGCTCCCCAGCTCAGAAGTCCCCTCTGCCTACTCTCTGAGTCTTCTCTGTTTGACCCCCAGGAGAGGGAAGCTGCACGTGCTGGATTTACGGGATGTTGGTCTGAATTTCTGGAATGTGTGGGCCAAAAGCATGGATGATGCCTGCTCTTCAGAGCCTAATATGAGGAGACAGCCAGTGGAGCACAAGGAGCTCAAGTCAGCCTTGAAGGTCATAGTCAATGTCTACCTCACCACAGACACCCCCAATGTGTTCCTCACCCACCTGCTTCAGTGGGTGAAGGAGAGAGCCAGCCTGGTGCACCTGTGCTGTCACAAGCTGAAGATCGCAAGGTGTCTCATCCACAGGATGAGCGATATCCTGGACAGTCTGGAGTTTGGTTGCATCCAGGAGGTGCAAGTGTTCCCTGTCTGGCGACTCCCCACCCTGGCCAAGTTTGCTCCCTACCTGGGCCAGATGAGCAGCCTTCACAAGTTGTCTGCCTTCCACCTCTCTTTCCCAACCCCCATCTCCCTAGAGGGCAAGGTTTACTTCAACACCCAGTTTACCTCCGAGCTACCCAAGATGCCCCACCTTCGACGCCTTCATATGAACTCTGTCAACTTGCTGGAGGACAACCTGGACCAAGTGTTCAGGTGAGAGACCAAGGCAAGCTGGTTTGCAAGGGCAGAGTGTGCTTTGATTGTGGGGCAACCACCATCCACATGCCAGTGAGCCATGCGTGAGGCTTCCTACTTCATGCTGAGCCTGAGTACAGAAGAGGGCTCCATGTGGACATATAGCTTAGACAGGAAGCTAGCAGCCTGGCGGAGGGAGCAGGTTCTGATCTTAAGGGTAAGTTTGCAAATTTGTCAAGAAGTGTGTATGAAAACATAGGTCAGAGAATTGAGTACCTTAAAATGTCAACTGTCCACTCAGCACCTGTGTGGACAGGGTGAGCCTGTGTCTGGTGCCTGGAGCCCCAGGGAGGTGTGTGACCTGTGAGACATGCATGGGAAAGGTGACAGGTGGTCCTGGGAGTCCAGTGTAGTAGTGAGGCCTCCTGGGAGGGCACCCACAGGGCTGTTGCTGCACCTGTCCAGGGTCTGAGCTTTATCCATGTCTCTCCCTGGCCATTTATAGCCCAGACAATTGCTTCTCTGCTGGACAGGTGAGGACAGGTACCTTGAGAGGTTTTGTGAACTTGACCCAGTCCCTCCAGTGGCAGTGGGAGGACTCAGCCTGAGAGTGGTTAACTAGAAGGACGGGTCTGCACTGGGCTGGAGCACACTGGGTGTTGGTGAGGGTGGGCGTGAGTGGGGTCTGGGGCTTTGGGGCTTGGCCCAAACAGATGTCTCCCACCTTGGTGTCATCATGAAGGAATCATTCTTGGTGTCTCCCCAGGTGCCTGAAACGCCCCCTGGAGAGTCTCTCTCTAATGACTTGCCTGCTCACGGAAGTGGATGTCTGCTATCTGTCCCAGTGTCCAAAACTCAGCGAACTCAAACACTTGCACCTCAACTGTGTCAAACTAACCAAAATCAGCCCGGAGACTCTCCAAGTTCTTCTGGAGAGAGTGGCATCCACCCTCATGACCCTGGACTTGATGGACTGTGACATCACTGACTCACAGCTCAATGCCATCCTGCCTGCCCTGAGCCAGTGCTACCAGCTCACCAGCTTAAGTCTTTTCGGGAACAGAATCTCCATGGCCATGATGGAGAAGCTCATGGAGCACACAGGCAACCTCAGTGCTCTGAGAGTAGAGCAGTACCCAGCTCCCCTGGAGAGTTACCACACGCAGGGCATCGTCCAGCGGGAGAGGTTTTTCCATCTGTGTACAGAGCTGATGGGCATCCTGGAGAGAAATAGAAAGCCCAAGAAAGTAGAGTTTCGCACAGAACACTGCAGGAAATGTGCACATCAGACGGTTTTTTGCAAAAATCACCATAATTGGTGTGACTGCTACCTGCTGTACTAATTGGGTAGACATGTCAAGATCTTCTTTCCAGATTTTTCCATGGAAGACCTGGGATGACTATTTCAGATAGGCTCAGACTCTAGCTGCAACGAGAAGGGGCAAAGCAGTCTGTGAAGCAGTTCTTGCCAGGCTCAGGGTTGGCCTGCGGGCTGGCCTGAGTTGGGAGGGTTGCTGGGAAAGTTGTCCTGGGATGATCTGGCCAGAGCCCATGTTGTTGTGTTTTCATGTGGAGTAGGCTATCTATTGCATTCCATGCTCTGTCATCAACATTACATTGTCCTCAGTGGCAACAAATAAAGCATCATAACACCAATCTCAAGTTGTGCATCTGGTAAACCTCCAGGATGCTCCCTGCTGGGACTCCTCAGTGGTACAACATGCCCAGATATCCATGTCTTTGCTGCAGTGCCAGTGCAGAGGGAATGAGCCAAGACCAGCAGACCCTGAGGTCCATGAACACAGCTGACACCTCAGGGCTGGCCTCCCTTTGACCAGATCAAACAAAGCAGGCCCCACTCAGACTCAGACCCAGGCCACCTGGGTGCAGCTGCACTGCTCCAAAGGAAACACTGGCCCCTATGTGACAAGGAGGGTCTGTGATGGAGCAGAGGCCCCCACAGGTGCCCACCCTGCACTGCTCCTCCCTGCCTTGCAACTGCCAGCCATCAGTCCCCTGGGCAGCTCAGGAATGCAGCCAGCCTGGCTCCTGGCTCCTTGTTCCACAAGATGCAATCAACAAGGCTTTTCCCTGCCTGTGCTGGTGGGAGGCTCCCTACGATTTTAGGCCAGCAGACCTGGTCTGGGTTCCACAGCAACTCCTCCAGCAGTTTTTTGGGTGTTTGAGAACATTAGTTCTCTGTAATATTCACAGCAACTTGATGTGCCTGTGAAACCAGCAGAGAATGGCCCAAGATGCAGGCAGAGTTCTGGGTGTCAGGCTTCCCCTGGTCCATCCCTGGCTGTCAGGTCATTTGAAGAGTGAGACAGCAGGTGAAAGATCTGTCTCTCTCCCTTTCTCTCCCCCTCTGTCACTCTCCCTTACAAATAAAGACCTATAAATCTTTGAAGAAAAGCAATGGTGATGGATGTGGTGCCTGAAGTCTTGTGCCGCACTGCCCAGTCCCTCCCAGGTGACTGTTCTTTCTGGTTTTCCTCTTGGTTCTTGTGCTGGGAGGTGGTGCCATCTCTGCCTTTGTTCAGCTCAGCGTAACAGCATAAATGCTGACACCTGGTGGATTCATCTTAATAAACCTTTTCAGAAAAGCTCTGATTTGGGGTGGTGTCATAATGTATCAAGCAATTTTTGGGATATTGTTCATTGATTCTCTAGCATGTGAAGGAAAGGCTAAGGTACCACAAGATAATGTTTTTCTTTCCCTTGATTATGCTTTTAGCTGTAGTCACACCATTTACCACACTGGGCCTTCCTGAGACCTGGGGAATACAGTTCCCATCCTATTTTATACTTGAAAAAAATATATATGGAAGAGAAAGAAAGAAGTTTGGTTCTAGATAAGTCATCCACAAACAAAAGTCATAAAAGAGGCTTTAGTTTCAAAAAAAAAAATGAGCTAAGCATTTAAAGAGCAGGTGCACAGCTCAGGGAAAGTCGTGCAAACCCTACTCCTTTCCCAGCGGGGAGCCCTCAGCATGTCAGGGACCATAATCCACCCAAGTGGTGACCCAAAGGAAGGGGTGGAACCCCATGAGGTCACTCCCTCCTCTTCACTGGCATGTCACATGGCCCATGGAACCCATATTTCAGAGTCACAGAGAAAGCAGACAGAAAGAGAGGGATCCTCCACCTGCTTGTTCACTCTGCAGATGGTCTCACAGACCGAGGCTGAGCCAGGCTGAAAGCAGGAGCCCAGAACTGCATCCAGGTCTCATGTGGGTCCAGGGACCCAAGTGCTTGGGCCATCTTCTGCTGCTCTCCCAGATGCAGTGTCAGGGAGCTGGGCCAGGTGTGGGGTGCCAGCATCACAGGCAGAGGCTTCATGGTGGCTCTGTGACCCCAGATACAGGGACGTTTGCCTCAACAGGAAGCAACAGAGTGGGGATGGGGGAGGCTAACTGTTTCAGGGAGCTTGAAGCAAAGGCCTCAGAACAAAACAACGTTGCAGCATTTGCTAGAACCCAGCTGGCCTCAGCATGAGTAGCCTGCTCCTGACTGGTTCACTAACTCTGAGTGCTTGAGAAAGGCAGTACCTTGAGAGTGAGGCGTTATAGCCACTGGAGAAAACAAGTTTATTTATTCATAGTGCCAGCAAGACTAGTCGTCTGAGAAAACATCTTCTGTCTACGTTGTAAGAGGGATGGTTAGTTAGCGGAGGAAGGAAGTGGGGAGGGTGCAGATGGCCCAGACAGCAGCTACCCATGAGGAGTGATGCTCCTTCTGTCCTGGGCTGGCTGGTTTGGAGATGCAGCTTTGCAGGAGCAGGGACTGGAAGACCTTCCTAGGAACAATCCTCCTCGTGTCCTTGGGGAAGACGCGCTCTAGGCAGGGGCCTATTTGTGGAAACCTCAAGCTGCAAGCAGACCTCCTCTAGGATTCACACATCTGCCTGCAGGGCTGAGCAAGGATCAGCCCCTGAGGGAACAGGTGCAGTGTGAAGGCAGGGGCTGCAGCGTTTTGTCTTGTCCCGTTCCTCTCTGATGTGCAACACAAGCGTAAAACCCAGTCCATGGTGTGGGCTGAGAGTCATTGCTTTGCAGTCCCCCCCTAACTCCTTCTGTGTCTCATCCAATCAGCTTCCTCTGACGAAAACCACAGCCCAATCAGGATGCGACACACAGAGGTCCAGGAATGCAACGTCTCTGTTCCTCTCTCTCTGTAAATCTGTCTTTCCAATAAAATAAATAAATGAAATCTTTGAAAAAGAGAAAGATGTATGTATTTGAAAGGCAGAGTCCCATGGAGAGACAGAAAGAGATGGAGCCAATGATAGCACACTACTGAAGGAGGTCAACAGCCAAAGTTTATCCATGTCATCGGGCTTTTATGGACCAAGGGTCACACAGGATAGGGGAGGCGATATGGAGGAGCTTACATTGTCCCCATAAGCCTGACTATGGAACCTATCAATTGTTTCTACATCCTTGCTTGAAAATCTCTGTTTATTTTGTATATCCAATCAATTGTTCCCATTCCAATGAGCTCCACTCATTGTGTTCCTACACACCGGTTTAGTTTCCGAATACCACAATGGCTGGGGCTGGGCCAGACCAAAGCAGGAGTCAGGAGTTTCCTCTGAGTCACCCACAAAGATGAAGAGACCCAGGAACTTGGGCCATCCTCTGCTTTCCCAATCCATAAGCTGGGAGCTGGATCAACAGTGGAACAATTAGGACTCAAAGGGGTTCCCATATAATGTGCTGCCACTGGAGACACCTCCCCCCTCCCCACTTCCCATCCAGCTCCCTGCCTGTGGCTTGGGAAGGCAGTCGAGGACGGCTCAAAGCCTTGAGACCCTGCACCTGCATGGGAGACCCAAAAGGGTTCCTGGCTTCTGGCCTTGGATTGCTTCAGCTCCGGGCATTGCGGCCTCTTGGGCAGTGAGTCAGCAGACAGAAGATCTTCCTCTGTTTCTCCTCCTCTCTACATATCTGACTTTCCGGCAAAAATAAATAAATCATTTAAAAATTTTTTTTTACCTGAAAACTAGTGGTATACACTGTCAGTTTGTCTTTTTAATCTGTTTTTGCTTCGTTGTTTGTTTGTTTTTTGTAAAATTTACTTGTTTATTTAAAAGGCAGAGTGGAAAATGAGTGAGAAACAGAGAAATAGAGAAAGACACACACACACAGAGACCTTTCACCCAGCGGTTCACTTCGCACTTGTCTATAGTGACCAGGACTGGGCCAGGTGGAGATCTTGGGATATCATCCAGGTCTCTCAGCGTCTGGCAGGGGGCAAGCACTTGGGCCATCCCTTGCTGCTTTCCCAGGCATGCTAGCAGGGAGCTGAGTTGAAACTGGAGCAGCTGGAACTTGAACGGGTGCTGATAGAGGATCGAGGTGTTGCAGGCTGGTCCCCAACACAATGCAAGCTTGCAGGCTACAAAGCAAAGTCTGATACAGCCAATCGATGAGGACAGATGTCATGCTTAGGGCAAGCAATCTTGGCTTGTTGTTGTGTAGTCAATTTAGAAAAACAACAAGCCATTGGGAAGCATCTGCTTAGCCTGTTCTGCCAGAGACTGGTCCCTAACATGACATCTGCCCTTATCAGCTTGGCTGTATCAGGTTTACTCCAGCTGTAGGCAGCTGCCAAGGTTGTATTGTGTGTAGGCAAGTGATACTGCTGGGAGAAAAGCACCCAGTAGCTGGTGGGCATTCAGGGCTAGCTTAATGCAAATTTGTGTTAACTATAACAGTATGCCAGTATACTTGCTTATGCTCATTCTTACTTAAAGAAAAACCAATTTTTAAAACAATTAAGTATGGAAGTTGTGGGTGCTGGCCAGGACCTGTCAGCTTGACCCCCAGAGCGGGTGGGGAGGTGCTGTAGATTGCCCAGGGAAGGGGATATGGAGAAGCATTGGAGTGGGAGTGGTTGAGGGCAAGTTTGACAGTGAAGGAATGACTTCTAGGTTCTTCCACAAACCAGAGCACAGCACTTGTCGTGTAGGGGAGGGAGCTGAGATGCAGTCTATTGGTGCACACAAAGGCTGGGGCGTGGAGGCATGCATTGCTGAGTTAAGCCACAGAACTTATCCATGAGTATAGAGGCAGGGAGTGGGCCGTGTCAGGTTGTGCCACAGCACACAGCGTAACAGGAGAGCACCAGATCCGGGGGCAGATTCTGTATGGGACTGTGCGTTTGCCTCTGTAGGACTATAGCACCCACTGATTTCTGCAGAGAGCTTGGAGTGGTGATGGGCTGAGCCAAGCTGGACCACAGAACCCACTTGACAGAACCCCACCTGACATTTGAGGGAGCTGGGCTGGGAGAAGGCCAGACCAGGCCAGGCTGCAGCACCTGCTGGCACATGCAAAGG